CTGTTTTACTAACACATTTGAAGACTTCATATTTCAAATCTGGGCATGGTAAATATCTCAAACACTTAGAGAAGATCTCCTTATTAATATAAACACTTTGTATTTGTCATGTAAGTCACAGGACCACCCAGCAGAAGTACAAAGTTAAAGTCCAACCTTTAGTTGGAAGCCACCCTCATTAAATGAATATTTCATATGAGTAATACCTAAAAGACTTTTAATGGTTAGCTATGACTTTAAAACCTCAGCATTAAATGTGTCTTTCCATTATGGCAAATTCAGAAGCCATCTTGAGAATATCTGGGCACCATTTGCAGTATCAGCCCAGCCACATGTATAGATCAAAATGTTGGTGTTAAATCTTGTAAGTCAAAAGAAAGTTACAGTTTACATGAAGAAAAGTCAGTTATCCCCCTGCAATCCTTTAACCATTATCATCACTTCAACTTTGTCCAGATTGTCTCCCTATGAGCAACCACTGCCAGAACAGTGAGTGCCTTGTGCCCTCTAGGTGGCTGGTAAATGTGGGACTTTAGCACCTGCCAGGTAGGGTCTCACCAAGTAACAAAACCTCACCACTGGAATCAAATGAAGATGATAATGATATAAATGACAATTATATTTTTAAAAACATAGTTAAAATCCTTCTTTGTAAAATATAACTTAGCTGGTTATAATAAAAACTCAAAAAAAATTTTTGGTAAAAAATAAAAGTACAGGGTGGGAGAGGTGCTCATGAAAATTACTGCATGCTCCACATAAGTAATGCTTAACAACTTTAAATTTTTAATCATGCTTTAAGTTAATATCTAGATATCTCAGTACTACCAATATCCATGGAGTTTTAAGTGTTAATTAAAATCTTAGTGAATATATAATTTTAAAGTTGCTAAACAGAATGAACAAGGGGCCTCCAACAGCTATAAAAAAGGTACCACAAGCAGAGGCACTGGATAACACTTTTTGATGATGACCACAATGAAATGAATTCATGAGAATTAGAGTTAACTGAATGCTCTGATATATGCAGTAGCGTTACTTACACACTTGATCTTAGACCAAAGTCCTAGAAGCGATGCTGCAGTCACCACAGCCCTTTCTCTCCTGCTAATAGCTTTTCTGAATGAAATTCTGTGGGACAATACTTTAATCATAGGGCACATTTACAGAACCAACACTAACAAAAAGCTTAGAAAGGATAAAGGCCCAAGGATAAGGCAGCATGTAACCACAGAGATGAAAGAAGGAACTCTGATAAGCAGAGAATTACCAAAATTTCAAAGAGGCTTGTGAATTAGAAATACAAATAAAAGTAATTTCTATTCCTGTGATATCTTATTAGGGATTAACAGAAAGTCTGGTTGGGAAAGGTGGCTTAAAATTGTTTTAGCACTAGAAACTCTTAAGGACTAAAGGATAAATGGGTCAATTAAGAAGAGTACAGCAACATAATCTGAGCCATTCTGATAAACACCTAAGAAGCTCAAAAACATTGTCTTTGTGTAACAGTCCAAAAGAAGTATGTCATAAAGACCTGGAACTTTGGAATTCAGCAGAGATAGTTCCAACATTGAAAAATTGTTACACAGGAGTTAATTCTGAAAAATAGCTGAAATGCATCACATGCTTTTATCAAAGTCCACATTTAACAGTCAACTTCCTCATACAAATTCTCAGTTATCAGATTACCATTACATAAAGATAAAGTTATATCTACAAGATAAAATCTGCAACTTAAGGTAATATCCCACCGAAATGAATTGAGTTAGTGTGTCTATATCAAAAAAGAATTGGTCTTAGGTAATCCGTAATTTTATGGGCTAGCAACATGTAAGACAGTGATTAAACTCAGTATTTTAAGACTCAAAAGGATTCACGCAACGAAAAAACCACAAACTTTTAGTACAGTGGCAAAGTGGGCTGCGTTTTTCTGTCCAATTCTACATCATAAAATACAAGTTACCTGTTTTTAAAAGATGATATTTTCAAAGTAGTTCTATTGGTTCTATTTTCACACTCACTACTGATATTCTGTTAGATAACTACTTCGAGAAGCTTACCTTATTAATGTAAAATTGTGACAAGGTAGCAGCATTAATAGCCCACTCTATAGGATGGTAGGCATTGTACTCAAGCTGGCGTTTTAGTGTACTGTGGCAATAATGAGCAGCCTTCTCAAACATTTCCATGTGCTGGTAGACTTGAGCCAGATAATACAGGTTATGAGTATAAACCTTCTCAAATCTGCCAAGAAAAAATAAACCAATATTTGCATAATGGTTTACAAGTAAATTTCGTACATAATTATCTTGATCCTCCCACCAATCCTTTGACTTGGATTTGGTTATTTTATCTATTTGACAGATAAGGGAACTGAGTTTCAGATTTTAATGAGGTCACATAACCAGTACATGTCAAATGGAGGTTTTACTCATATCAGAATCCACATACTGTAACCTTCATAAAAGTG